TGTAGACGGAACATGGGCTTTGCTAGGAGGAGAGCTGGGGTGCATCAGCTGACCCTGCACGGGTGGAGCTGGGGAGGGGCTGCAGGAGTGTTTCTCCAGGATGGAGTTGCGCTGTAGTTGGCTGGTGAGCAGGAGAATAGGGGGATGACAAGACAAGAAGGAGACATACACCTTGGGGTGGGTTTGATTTACTCACTTGACTCCTTGCCCTTTGTAAGCGAAAGAAACTGGCTTTTCCATGTGTGTGAAGTAAGTGAGCAATAATTAGCAGCAGGTAGCGCTGACTCTTGAGAAGGCAATGGCACCCCACTCCAGTACTTTTGCCTGGAAAATCCCATGGATGGAGGAGCCTGGTGGACTGCGGTCCATGGGGTCGCTAAGAGTCGAACATGACTGAAGTGACTTAGCAGCATCAGCTCTGACTCTCATTTTCTTAAACTGAGAGCATCAAAATTGCCTTTGCAGTGATCTGCATTAACCCCAGGAAGCTCTATAACTCATGTCCCCTGTGCCTTGCTCCTCAATTTGCTTTGTTTAATGTGCAGGGAGTTTTAGTTGGTCAGACTGGAAAGCCCTCCGGGAAAGCCTATGAAGTTCAGTGCTGACCCTGCATTTCATGCCACTTAAATAGTGGCTTAAATAGCCAGTTCACTCTGCGTAAAGGTCCATTCATTACTGTGTACTTCCCAAAGCCTCAATGAGGTGTTCTCTTGAGATTCCTTATTCTCCCAGGGGTCAGTACTAAGTGTCTAGTTTGGAACAGATCCAAAAATCAGTAAGTGGAAAGTATTCTATCTCTGTCTTTTAACACTGTGCTTCTGCTGCCTTTAAAAAGTGAAGTGTTATTGGAAACATCACTATGTAGTATAATAGTATGCTACATACTATACTATAATAGTATTCTATGTAGTATGTAGTGTAATTCTTTTCAAATTCCCTTGGTGTTTTTGTTGTTATACTTTTAAAATATTGGATTTGTGGCTGGTAACAGCAACTTAAATGATCACCATTGTCAGACAGATTTATCAGTTTTAAGAAGACCTTTGCCCTTTGCAGAAATGTACTGAGAATACAGTTTATATCCCACTATTGAATGAAGTCCTTCTCAAGAAAATCACAACAAATATGGGATATTCCTATTACGTGGTTTGCTCCTTAATAACCGTGATATATGCCTGAGGTCATGCTGATACTTTGGACAGACTGGGAAAGGCAGAGAAAAGGCAATGTGAAGAGAGGGAAACCTTAGGGTGTTTTTGAGACGATTCCACTGGCTGTTTTCAGCCTAGGATGACACAACTATTGCTTTACCAGTTTCTCTGATAAGACATTTCATTTTTGACAGCAGAAAAGTAACAAAATTGTAAATCGCATTGGCCCCCATTGAGGAAGAATATATGTAAGTTCTCAGATGGCTTCTGGTAGTAGGTTCTCACTTTCTCTTGTCAGGATTTTTGGTGTTGAAAATTATTGGCAAACAGTATTTTAGTGGTAACTGTTATTTTTGTCAGTTCTGTGGCTTTTCTTGGCCGGGGGGGGAAATCAGCTCTAACTGCTTAAGTCCATGTTCTTCCATGTCGGCCATCAGATTGGAGCCAGAAAGACCTTCTTCCTTCAGTCAGAATGTTTCCTGCCTGCTGGCATCGATCACTGCTTCATTACCTCCTGGAGTTTGCTCAAATTCATGTCCCCTGAGTCAGCAATGCCATCCAACCATCTCATCCTCTGTTGCCCCCTTCTTTTCGCATCCTAAATCTTTCCCAGCATCAGGGTCTTTTCCAATGAGTGGGTTTTTCACATCAGATGGCCAAACTATTGGAGCTTCAGCTTCCGCATCAGTCCTTCTAATGAATATTTAGGGTTGATTTCCTTTAGGATTGACTGGTTTGATATCCTTGCTGTCCAGGGGACTCTCAAGAGTCTTCTCTAGCACCACAATTTGAAAGCATCAGTTCTTCAGCACTCAGCCTTCTTTATGGTCCAGCTCTCACATCCATACATGACTACTGGAAAAACCATAGCTTTGACTAGACAGATCTTTGTTGGCAAAGTGATGTCTCTGCTTTTTAATACGCTGTCAAAGTTTGTCATAGATTTTCTTCTAAGGAGCAAGCATCTTTTAATTTCGAGGGATAAGAATAGGCATAAGCAAATTTATACCCTGATTTTGTTTTGTCACTTTTCTTTTTCATACACCTGTTGATTTCCCAACCCTTATTATGCCTAGTGAACCCACTTTTCTGTTTTTTCAAGTCTTTGCCACTTGCCTCCGCAGGTCTGTTCTTACTGACTGAAGTTTGTATTTCTTGACTTGAATTCACCTGCACGTCTCATGCACAGCCTCTGGTTCTCTCTTCTGCAGGTCTGTGCAGATCTCTGTCTCCCTTTTCCGTGCTAGTCCCTGACCTCATTCCATATGCAGTTCAAATTCCACTGCTCAAAGCCCACCTCATCTACTCCACCAGATCTATATCTTGTTCTGCATCCCCTCTGAACTTGTACATTGTCGATCAGCAGAGTGGGGTTCAGAGCATGGACATGCTTAAACTGAGGTCCTTCTGTGTATGGACTCTAACTTGAACGCGGGCAAACTCCAAGAGATAGTGAGGGACAGGGAGGCCTGGCATGCTGCAGTTCATGGGGTCTCAGGGAGTCAGACACGACTTAGCAACTGGACAACAACAACAAATGTATGCACTATACAGCTTAGGCCTTGCTGCATCTCCTTTATCTGAATTGTGAAAAAGGGTCTCCTTGGATGGTTGTGATTAAATGTGATAATACATGTACAGGGTCTGGCACTCAGGGATCAGTGTGCCAAGCTCTCAGGAGCATTTCCAGCCACACCGCATGCTCACAGGGTTGAGATGTATAGTCCTTGAATGAAAGAGTCTGGCTCTGCAGAGAATGCCTAGCACAGGTTAGCTAATTCAATAAGCATGTGTTGAAAAATGGAGAGCATGGTCGTGAATAGCAGAGATTGATCATCATGATGATGGTTGTTATTATTTCCACAAATCTTTGCATCGCATTATAAGCAAAAATGTGTGTGGTAGGACAGGAGGAACACAGTATACTTCCCAGCGTGTATTTCATCTGAAAGTGCCTAAGGGTGACTGCAGATTCTTGATTACCTTCTAAAGACAGTAACAGGAAGTTCCAGGATTTTTCATTGCTTGTGTTTTATATGTATGTATAATACACACACACACACACATATATACACGTGTGTGTGTATATATATATATATAGTTTATTTATTGTTTTTGACTGTATTGGGCTTTCTTGGCGCGGGCTTTTCTTAAGTTGCTAGGGACGTGGACTACTCTCTAGCTGTCGTGTGCAGGCTTCTTATTGGAGTGGCTTCTCTTGTTGCAGAGCACAGGCCCTTGGGCACGCAGGCGTCATAGCTGCAGCTTGTGGTTTCTGTAGTTGCAGCTCCCCAGCTCTAGAGCACAGGCTCAGAAATTGTGGCATGACCACCGTGCACCTAGGCGTGTGAGGTCTTCCCGGATTAGGGACTGAACCGGTGTCTCCTGCGTTGGCAGGCAGACTCTTTACCACTGAGCCCCCAGGCAAGCCCACTTTGTATCCTTTAGGGTGTTGTTTTTTTCTATCCCTCACTTTGTCATTCACTTAGAGATATACTGTATGTGTGTGTGTATACATATACATATATGTATATACACATACACATGTGTCTACACACATATATACATATATGTATATACATATACACGTGTGTGTACACACATATATACATATATATACATATACACATGTGTACACATATATACATATATGTATATACATATACACATGCGTATACACATATATACACATATATACACACGTATATGCATACACACATGTGTATATACACACATATACATATATGTATATACACATACACATATACATATATGTATATATACACATGTGTGTATACACATATACATACATGTATATGTATATATACATATACACACGTATATTATACATCATAGTTGCATACAAGTAATATGCAAATGGATACTTGTGACATTTATGATTAGGTTTTTAAAAAATTTATTTTAGGAACTTGGGTCAGAGAAGGGTTCTTCATTTCTCGGTGCTTCCATTTCCTTCCAATCGGGAGCAGAAAAGAGACAAATATAAATGATGGAGAATTGGTGACCGTCTTCTCCAAATTCATTTTACTTGAAATTTCTGGCACCATCACCACTAGGATCGTGCTCACCGTTAACATGAAAACTCCTGTTTAGATCAATTTTCCCAAGAACTTGTCATAGTGTTATCTCCTAATTCATATGTTCAGAAACATTTTTTGCTGTGAAAAGGAGAAGTGCCAGAATAAGCAGAATTGCATTCGGTATGCAAATGAAAGTTTTGTAGAAATAGGGTTGTATTGGAGATGAAATTAATTGTGACAGTTCAGGAGGAGTTTTACGGGAAAAGATTAACATGTTAGGTCTTCAGTGGCTGTCTTCCCTGATGCATATAATATTAGGCAAAATGAAATCTCCATGTGCCCAAGCTTGGTGGAGGAATGTTTATTGAGTGCATAGAAATTTGAGCAAGGCATGTCTCTAAGAGTTTATGACAGCCCATTTTCTTTTCTCAGTGTGAGGATGAATTGGTCCATTATCATCTAAATTGGAAGTCATGATGATGGTTCTTCTTTGATTCTCTTGTTGTTTACTTGTTAAGAAACTCATACAGGAAAATGTGTTATTCTGAATTAAGTTGCTATTATAGAATAGCCTATAACGTTGTATTTTTTCAAATGTTTATGTGCACATGAAAAGGGAAGATTTTTCATATAGGGGGAGATCAGATCTAACTTAATTTATTTGATTTTTCAACAGAGGGTAAGGTGCACAATCTGTTACTACCCAGAATTCTGTTTTCAAGTTTGATTGCCTTTTGAATGATTTCTGCAGTGATAATACAGAAAAGTTATTTGTGTATATTCACTTCTTTTCTTCTTTTGCTCCAAGGAAACCAACATGTCTGACAAAAGTGACTTAAAAGCTGAGCTAGAGCGCAAAAAACAGCGCTTAGCACAGATAAGAGAAGAGAAGAAACGGAAGGAAGAGGAGAGAAAAAAGAAAGAGGTAAGTCCTGGGTGCTGTGGTGTCCTCAGGGAAAAGGAAAACCACTCAGTCCAGAGGCGCTGGTCAAATGGATACAGAGGACCCTGTGAAAGAACGCATTTACAATACCTGCATAAAACGAGTGGAATTTGCATACTTAGAACAGTCAGGTCACTGCCGTCTGTTGTGTACTGATCAGGCACCACATGAATGGTCAGTAGCATTTGGTACAGAGGTCCCCAAAGCCCAGGTTTACCCCAGACTTGAACAGAACCCTGAAAATGATCTGCGATAGCTCTACTGTTAGAAATTCCTTCACCTTTCCCGGTCTCAGTTCCCTGTGCTTAACAGGGAAATAGCAGTGTGTTTATTTTGTCCAGTCATGAGGATTAAAAAAGTTGATGTTATAAAGCACTTAGCAATGCCTGGGATATTGTTGTTCAGTCATCCAGTCGTGTCTGACTCTCTGTGACCCCAGGGACTGCAGCATGCCAGGCCTCCCTGTCCTTCAACATCTCCTGAAGTTTGCCCAAGTTCATGTGCTTGCATCAGTGATGCCATCCAGCCATCTCATCCTCTGACATCTCCTTAGTAACTCTGTCCCAGTAACCTGGGATGTAGTTACACCTTAATAAGTGTTAGTGTCGAGCAAAGGCTTTTGAAAAAAACTACCCAACCTGAACATTTTAGGAGGAAAATAGAAAATGATGCCAGTGGATTACCATTATTTCCTCAGTGGATGTATTTTTCAGGGTAAATAAGTATGCTGGGACTGGTAAGGGGAAAGCTGCATTTTTCTCCTTTGATGAGAGAGTAGATAGTGTAGTAGATCCTGCTGCATGATATGTTACATCCAGAGAGATTTCAGTGACCTTCCATTCAGGCCCCTCTTTATGCCAACAAAGCAACCGAACCCCAGAGGTGAGGTGGAGCTTTTCTGCCTGTCAGACCTGGAATACAGAACTCTTTTTTAAAAAAAATTAAATCTTTAGACCTTTTAATAAGCACACTATAATAGAAAAGCCATCCTTTCTAAATATTTTCTTAATTTCTTTCACTATTATTTCTAAAGAAGTTGTGATGTTCTTTTCCTGTTGTATTGTAAGATATTTTTAAAACTCCGTCATTGAAGTATAGCTGATTTGTAATGTTTGCCAATCTGCTGTAAGGCAGAGTGGCTCAGGTATACACAAATATACATTCTTTTTTATATTCTTTTTCATTATGGTTTATCACAGGATTTGCAATATAGTTCCATGTGTTAATCATTAGGCCCCTGTTGTTGATCCGTTGGGGAATACATGTAAATCCATGGCTGATTCATTTCAATATATAACAAAAACTACTGTAATGATGTAAAGTAATTAGCCTCCAACTAATAAAAATAAATGGGAAAAAAAAAAAAGAGTTCCAAAAAAAAAATATATATATATAATCATTTGGGTCTACCAATCCCAGACTCCCAGTCCATTCCTCTCCCCGCTGCTCTCCCCCTTGGCAGCCACAGTCTGATCTCTATGTCCGTGACTTTGTTTCTGCTTTGTAGACAGGTTCATTCGTGCCATATTTTAGATCCCACATGTAAGTGGTACCATACGACATTTGTCTTCCTCTTTCTGACTTACCTCACTGAGTGTGATCATCCCGAGGACCATACATGTTGCTGCAAATGGCATTATTTCATTCTTCTTAGTGATGGAGTAGTGGTCCATTGTGTGTATGTATCACATCTTTATTCATTCATCTGTTGGTGGCTGTTCAGGTTGTTTCCATGTCTTGGCTATTTGAATAGTGCTGCTCCGAACATAGGGGTGCACGTATCTTTTTGAATTATAGTTTTGTCCGGATATTTTCCCAGGAGTGGGATTGCTGGATCATATGGTAAATTCAGTCTTTAGTTTTCTGAGGAACCTCCATGTTGTTTTCCATGGCGGCTGCACCTACTTACATTTCCACCAACAGTGGAGGAATGGAATTTGGGGCTCTTAGTTCCTAATTAAATGCCTTTCTGCTACATCATGTGTTTTTCCTATTATCTCAGCCCAACAAATAGTTTATTTTTAATTCTCTGATTTGTCATGGCGGTGTAGAAATAGCCCATATCTTGTACAAAAACCAGATGCTACATGTATTTTTGGTAGTTTTCTAGGAAGGAAACTTTGTATAGTGTGGTATTGCTATGTGTATAGAAATCAAACCTGCTCCCCTACTTGTATTTTAAGGGAAAAAAGAATGTATTTTGAAGACTTGCAAGCTAAGTGCTGTTTCACACTATAAGCCTGGGAGACCAAGGCAAAAAAATCTCTAACAATTATTTTCCAGCAAAGTAAAACATAATTGTGTCGCCCTCTGACCTGCTGGCATCTTGCTTCTCTTGGTACCATTACGCTTTGATTGATGCCATAGTTTATTTGTCCTTGACAGTGAGCATAATGTTTTGCCTTCAGAGATCTCCGCTGTTATATATTCGGTCTTGAGTGAAACAGAGGTGAGAATTGACAAGGAATGGCTATTCATTTCCATGTGAAGCCAAAAAAAGCATTAAGTTATTATGCTCCCTTTCCTTCAAATGTCAACACTTATTGTAGTTTTAAAGCACCTGTTATCCTTTACTAATAGTCGGTTTCCTTTTAAACTGACATCCTAATATCCAACTTGAATTCCATAGAATTACCGCAAAATGCCAAGTGGTATGGGAAATCTGGCTCCAAATTATGCTGTCTGCTTCATCCTTGTCATTTCACACATTTGGGGGGAGGAAATTACAGGCAAACAAGCCTGATGGAAACAGGCCACCCTTTCTGTTCCCATACCACGAAGCTCTGCCTGTCGGGGATTTAGCTTTTATTCAGCAGACGGAGTCTTGGCGGGTTGGGGACAGCAGGTTGGGGGGTGGTGTGCAGAACACCTGGACCTGGGGCCTTCCTGGGCCTCCACCTCCTTTTGGAATTAAAGTTTTACACAGTCTAAGTTTCCTCGTTGCTAAACTGCCAGGGTGGTTGAAACCTGACTCTGCTCCAGGGTAGGTGCATGTGTTAGTCACTCGGTCGTGTCCAATTCTTGGCCACCCCATGGATTGTAGCCTGCCAGCCTCCTCTGTCCGTTGGGTTTTTCAGGCAAGAATTCTGGAGTGGGTTGCCATTTCCTCCTCCAGGGGATCTTCTCGACACAGGGACTAAGCCTGCATCTCCTGTGTCTCCTCCATTGGCGGGTGGATTCTTTACCTGCTAAACCATCAGGGAAGTCCTATGGCAGTAGAGTCCCCGTCTCCCCTCCCCAGAGCTTCTGGTCGCAAGTATCTAAATCGGGTTAGATTTGGGGATCATTGAGCTGTGTCATCCTGAAGGTCTGTCCTGGCTTTTGGCCCTGACCCTTCAAGTCCATCTCCCCAGCAAAGGATCTTTCCTTGGGTCAGATTGTGATGACTTGGTTTGTTCTGAGTCCAGGGTTGTATTAATATGATGCAAGCAGTAGACCTGTAGGTTAACACACAGGCTTTCAAGCTTCATGTGGCTGGGAAACCTGGCTCTGCCCTTTGCAGGATGGCCTTGAACAGGTCTGGGACCCCTCTGCACTTGGATTCCCCTCTGTAAAATGGAGAGGAAAGTGGGTCCTTTATCATGGAGTTCTGTGAGGATCCAAGGAGGTGATGCAGGACTGTGAAGACACAGAGGATCTGCTTGGTAAGAAACGGCTGAAACTCTGCTCCTGAAATGGCCCTCACATGGGGCCAGTAGAACCTGCAGACATTCTTCAGCATCAATGCTGGGGACTCCCATTTTTCAAAAACGCTCCATTGTTGGCAGAGTCTTATAATCCAAGGCCCCTAGTTTCCTGGGATGACAGCATTTTGTAGTTGAAAGAAACCTGGAAGTAATCTCTTCTGATCTTTCTTTTTCAAATGCTCTTCGGCCCCAGGGGCTGAGCCTCAGAAGTGATCCGACTTTATCTCCCCTATTCCAGCCAGTTGTCCAAATCAGAAACCTGGGGCCGTGCTTTCCACGCCCCTTCTCCAGCTCCCGCTGATCAGGGGTCCCAGACATGCACAATAGCTCCCCTGTTCCGTGTCATTTCCTTTCTCCCTAAATCCACATTCCAGCCAGCAAGGCTGGGCTTCTTACATTTCACCCCATGGGCCAGGCTCTCTCTTGACAGGAGTTCATGAATATTCTCTCCCGTTGGCTTCCGCTGTTCTGTTAACCACATGTCTTTCAGTTCTCAGACTGGATGTCTCGTCCTCTAGAAAGCCTTCTCTAATACCTTCTCTAACCCGTGACTGGGTTAGTCCTGTGCCCTATCCATGACCTTACCAAATTATTTATCACCATTTACCTATTCATGTGTTTTTTTCTCCTCACTGAGCACAAGCTTCAGGGTGTCAGGGTTGTATTTTTCATCACAGAGTCAATGTCCAGCCCAGATCCTGCCGCTTAGTAGGTCTTCAATAGAGGGGCACTTTGCTGGTGGCTCAGACAGTAAAAGAATCTGCTTGCAATACAGGAGACCCAGGTTCAATTCCTGGGGAAAATCCCCTGGAGAAGGGAATGGCTACCCATTCCAGTATTCTTGTCTGGAGAATTTCATGGAGAGCGGAGCCTGGCGGGCTACAGTCCATGGAGTTGCAAAGAGTTGGACACAACTGAGTGACTAACATTTTCACTTTTCATAGAACTAAGGAGTGAGTGAATGAATGGACAGCTAACCTAGATAGGGGAGGTCTGAGATGCTGGTCACAGACATTCTTTCCAAGCACCTGCATTTTTTTTTTTTCTGCGGATTTCCTTGGAAGCTTCAGATCCTGAGTCTGTGGGATGCTCCAGTTAAGGGTTGTTGTCATTGACTCTCAAGTTTAAGATTTTCTAGTTTTTATCTTGTTTATAGAGAATTAGAAATAGCCTTAAGCTTATGTTGGAGAAGGAAATGGCAACCCACTCCAATATTCTAGCCTAGAGAGTCCTGTGGACAGGGGAACCTGGTGGGCTACAGTCCACGGGGCTGTGAAGAGTCAGACATGACTGAAGTGACTTAGCATGCATTAAGCTTATGTTTGTTTTCTTCAGCTTTACATAGGCTTTTTATTTTGAATAAAACATGTTTAGAATAAAAAGGAAACAGAGTGCTCTTTAATTGCTAATCTGAGTGTCAGTGTATTTGCCATAACTGAAAACTAGTGTGAATTGGGACCACCCAGGTTGATTGTCTCCGCAGAACCCAGGAAACTGTGTTCATGTATAAAGTTACTGCTTCCTGTGCCTTTGGATGTCAATTGCTTTCTTGGTTGTGGTGTTATAGATGCAATCTGATTTTAAAATAATTACAGTGGCCACCATTTAAGATACAGAGCCAATTTCATGAAAAATTGGCTTTAAAGCAATGAGGTGTGCTTAACGAGGACACCCTGAAATTTTTCCTGTCCTTGGCCTTCTGCTGAATTGCCGCAAGGTCAGATGAGATGGTTGGATGGCATCACTGACTCAATGCCCAAAACTTGGGCTAACTCCAGGAGATAGTGAGGGACAGGAAAGCCTGGCATGCTGCAGTCTATGGGGTTGCAAAGAGTTGGACAAGACTTAGCGACTGAACAGCAAACAACAACAGGATGGACAGAGGCTTTCTGACCTGTCCTCATGTGTTAACAACTCTGCAGCTGTCTTTGGGAAAATGACGAACCATTCAGCTGACAAATTTTCTTTCTTCAGGTCCCCTCACTGGGTCTCAGCTCTGATGACTCCCACAAACAGAAATACGATTTGCTGGGAGAGACATGGAGCATATTTTAAATCATTAGTATGCAAAAACTCTTTATTGAGTCATTAAAATGTATGAGGTCTCTGTCTGTCGTATTTACATGGAAAATATCAAAGGTTTCATGATTAGGGCACTTGGTATAGCTGTCTTGGATGAAGAAGCACATTGTTTAGTTTAAGGTGTTAATTGATAGCAGTTAGGAACTGGCTTTGTTTCCAATAAGCCCCAGTTACCTAACTTTGCATTTTTCCTGGTCAACTTTGAGTGTCAGTAGCTTTCCTAAGCTTCTGTTATGTCTAGATGGACAATTTATCCTTATTAATATATGTCATCTGTCATTGTATTGTCTGTTTTGTTAAGAATGAAAAAAGGCAGAAAGCAGAGAGTGAGCTGTGGAGGCACCTTGTGTTGTGGGAGAGACACTTTGGAGATGGAGTTGCTTTTGCAGTGTCTGGCAATGCGTGTTGACATGAGGTTTACTCTCTGGTATGTTTCTTGTTCTTGTTAGTTGCTAAGTCATGTCCAACTCTTTTGCAATTCCAGGGACTATAGCCCGCCAGGTTCCTCTGTCCATAGGCTTTCCCAGGCAGGAATACTGGTGTGGGTTGCCATTCCTTCTCCAGGTGATCTTCCCAACCCAGGGATCGAACCCATGTTTCCTGCTTGGCAGTCAGATTCTTTACCACTGAGCCTCCAGGGAAGCCCACTCTAATATTTTTCTTGAATGCTTAATGATGAAAGTTACAACGAATGAAAAAAATAAAAAGCAAATTCTGTGCCTTTCTGCCTAGGGCATACATGACAGAAAGGTATAGATAATATGCCTTAAGTTTATTCGAAAGGAAGAGATTTGATGGCTCTTCTGTTTCACTCTATATGAGCTTCATTAGAATTCATGTTCATTATCACTGGCACCCTGTTGTCCTTAAATAAATTTTTGTTGAAAGGATGAAGAAAGGCTCCATTTTTCTGTTGCCGTTGCTAGAATATAGAAATGGCTTTGTTATGAGCACTGGGTCACTGGGAGTTTAGATGATGCCTTCTCATGGTAGTGTTGTAAGACAGCTTTCTGAATGGGGTGTAGCTGGTGGAAGCTCTCCTGAATGGTGTGTAATTCTTAGATTCGATATCTATAATAGAACAGTTACCAAAGGCAATTGTTTCATTCATTCAGCATTTTTAAACTGAGCATCAACTTGTGTGGCAAGTTGTGAACAAAACGAACACACATGTATCCTCAGTCAAGTTGACAGTCCAGACAGTTACCTCTTCACTGTAAAACCATGCTATGCTGCACTGGCCTCCTGAGACGAGTATTGCTTATCTTGTTTCTTTTTTTTTTTTAATTTATATTTCAGTAGTGACAGTGGTGATTCCCTTTTCTTTCATTGCCCCACTTTCTCTTCAATCCTTGTTTTAAATTTGTGATTAGGTGAACATTGATATAGATCATCATTCTGCAAGGTCCTTTTTTAAACTCTTAGTTCTCTCTTTGCCTCTGGTCGTCCCAGGTGGTGCTAGTGGTAAAGAGCCAGCCTGCCATCGAAGAGACATAAGAGACGTGGGTTTGATCCCTGAGTTGGGGAGATCCCTGGAGGAGGGCATGGCAACCCTCTCCAGTATGCTTGCCGGGAGAATCCCATGGACAGAAGAGCCTGGCATAGACCATAGTGACACAAAGACTTAGACACAACTGGAGTGACTTAGCATGCACATATCTTTGCCTCTGTTGTGTGCATAAACTTTGGAACTTTCTAGTTTAAATGTTAAAATTGGGAAAGAAAGTGAGCTTTCATATCTTCCAAGGTTAAACTGCCATTTCAGAAATCTCATGGATTCAATGAGAGAGCCTGAATCTTCTACATCCTCATTAGCCCTTATTGATCCCCATCATGGCAGTTTTCCCTCTGATGACAGAAAGCTGACTCATTGGAAAAGACCCTGATGCTGGGAAAGATTGAGAGCAGGAGGAGAAGGGGGCGACAGAGGATGAGATGGTTGGATGGCATCACCAACACAATGGATGTGAGTCTGAACAAATTCCAGAAAATATTAAGGACAGGGAAGCCTGGTGTGCTGCAGTTCATAGGTTTGCAAAGAGTCAGACACGACTTAGCGACTGAACGACAAAGACATCAAATACCTGAGAGTATTTTAAGCCTGAGGTGAATAATCACAGAAGCACTGAGCCCGCACTATGTGCAAAGATGCATTTTGCTTATAATCGAGGTGTAGGTTACCATCTGGGAGTAACTCAAAGTTGCATGAACTCTTTCTGCTGTAGATGCCACGATGGAAATTGTGCTTTACTGCTTTGAAATGTACTTTGTACTCCTGAAAGAGGTGATGTGTCTGTGAGGGAGCCCAACTTGCCCCCGGAGAGGAAGGTGTGTCTGATGAGTGGATAATTGGCTTTTGACAAACTCAGACAGTCTCACTCCTGGAAACTCACAAAGCCTTGTCGTGAAGTAGCTGCACATCAAATAGGATGTTATCGTGTTTCAGATGTGGGGCAAATGCCTTGTCTTAAGTAGCAATTGTGTTCTGAAAAAGAAGAGAAACCTGAGTACTTAATTCCCCCCAGAATTCCACTACCAACCTTCTTTAACCCGTATTTTGACTTGTTGCTTTTCCTTTAAGTTTCCCACCAAGCATTCTATTTTCATCATTTCAAAAAGACAAATTGGGCATCAGAAGCTCAACAAGGTGTGTCTTCCCCAAGAAAGCACTTGGGGAAAGAGTGTATCTCTCCTGAATGGCTTTTTGTTTTATATTTTTCCACATGCATAATTTTCTCCTTTGAGTTAATATGTATAACAGAAGCCTATGAAAGTCAGAATTATGTAACAATACTTAGATAAGTATTGTTCACATGCCTTAATAAGAATTTTAGCCTGGTTTATTGAAACCATGGTAAACTTAGAGTACTGATACAATTGTGTATTTTACAGTTACAGATTTTCATAACTAATCTTACAGCCAGACACTATTAATTCCTTGTTTGCATAATCCCAAGGGTGAGGCATGAATATTACAAATGCACACTCATCAGGAACTGATCATATGTCTTGCCAGAGGGACAAGGGTATCTAAAGAACTAGATAGATTTTTGTTGTTGTTGTTTAAATCCATATCCAAGTTAGAAATATTTTGTGTTGATGGTTTCTTCTGAAACCAAGTGAGAAAAACTCTCCTACCATGTGATAGAGGCAGGAAAAAGCCTTTAACCCAAAGAGAAAGTGCTGGCTTAGTAGTTATTAAATGGAGGAGTTACAACATTTTTTAATCCTTTATACACATGTTTATATCTATTTAGGGCTTCTGCCTGGTCTTTGCTGCCATGCATTTACCATTTCAGTTTCATCCAGGAGAAGCATACATTTAGCTCGCTTCCTCACTTTGTCACTGGCATCTCCTTTTTGTAGGCTGACATGCAGCAGAAGAAAGAACCGGTTCCAGATGACTCTGACCTGGATCGCAAGCGCCGAGAGACGGAGGCCCTGCTTCAGAGCATCGGGATCTCGCCCGAGCCCCCTCTAGGTACTTTAGAGCGCTTGTGTTCACTCTAGCCTCAGATTTGGCTTGCGTAGGGTATACCATGTCCAGCGTTTACTATCCTTTTACATCTCCTTTTGTTTTTATGTTTTAAGAAATGCTTTGGCTTATGGTTCAGGTGTATTTATTTTTGGAATTGAGGGGGCTGGAAAGAGATAGGAGGACAGACTGGTAGAGTGGTTAGCAGTTGGCTGCTTACTGGCTGATGCTGCAGTCCACCTAATCCACTGCGTTACTGAGTATCTTACACTTGTTAAATGAGTTACCACTGGTAAATACCAGAAATCGTGAGATGAAGGGAAAAAACTTCATTTCTATTGCTGAATCCCAGCCTCTCTCTGCCAACCTAAATACTGTGAATCTGGTTATGAATTTCATAACCACCCCAGGCACAGAGTTATTCTATGATGAAAATAGAATGCTCGGTGGGAAACTTAAAGGAAAACTCAAACTGGTGACAGATTAGCAGCTAATTAACATGTTTAAATTTCTTTGACTCTGTTGTATATCTTGGTTTCATTGCTAATCGGCATCTTTACTGCAGCACCCTTCCTCCAGCTCATTCATACCTAGTTACTCATCCATGACTTCATTCTATTCAGGGTTTGGTTATTGAACTATTTCTTTTATTTGTGTTGAAGGTAACTGGTACATAATGTGTTTATTCTGTCACTATATATCATTCATGTGATAAGTTATTTTATTTTTCTTTATCCATTTGCTTTCCATACATTTCAGAGTAATCCCAGGGTGTCTGTAAAACTATGTGATATTCAATATAGTAAACCAAAGCTTTAAAAATAATACATATAAATAAAATAGTATCAGATCCCCTTTTATAAATCATTCATCTTTTAATTCCATCATTGGCTTTCATATTAAAATAAATTTTCATTTATTTCCATAATTACTTAAATTAACAATAAAAATTATCCCACAAACAGTGAAATGGCAAGTGTGTATATCAATATAAATAAGTAAAAGGGCAAAATATAATAATCATATAAATTATTAAATGTTTCTGGATATAATTCAGTATATACACACAAAACTAAAACACCATGAAAAAACATTTTATACTCAACCTCAGTGTGTATTAATAGTAAGTAAAATCATATGTCTAACAATGATACAATAAACCCCAATAAGACGTTGATTATTTTGTTAGCTTCTTCGTGGTATGGGAGATGTAACCCACAGGATGTTTGAGTGATGGGCCTTCTGTGAGGAGCTGACAAAACTTTTTATCACTTAGTTGACAAGTAATACATGTTAGACCCTTGGCAATTAAATTTTTGCTTCAAAATAGCCTTTGAAGTTCTGCTGCAGTATGAACCCTGGTTAAACGCAACCGTAGAATATTTGTTCTCCCCTAACCTGCATAAAGCCAGCAATTAAACCTTAAGAGCAAAACAGTTTAAACATCCCTAAACCATGACCAGACTCTGAACTATCCCGGCATCCCTGCCAAAGGGCTCTGGCAAAAGTGGACCCCGTTTTCAATTTTTATCCATCTTTCCGACTTACCCTCTGACTTATTGCAGAGGGTAATCAGTGAATTAATTGTAGAACCACGTGAAAATTCCTAGTTTCTTGACAGATCTGCCGTTGTGTTATAGGATTTGGGCAACATAGTTAAACCTTTACCTTATTAAATAAATCAAAGGAAATTGCACATGATTGGAACCAAATGGGAATCTACACTATGTATTGAAGCTGCTTGCTGCCCATATGGCTTCCCTGGCATGAGTGATACTGAGAACCCGCTCTCAGCTGGCCTGGAGCCGCCGTGGGTATTTGCTGCCGCTTCTATCTGAAGGACGTTTGGCTTGTATCTGAAAGATAGAGGGGAAAAAACCCATTTGCATTTCCTCTGATTTCTTTTCTTTGATTACCCTTGCTTTGAGAGTCCCAGCCTGCACTGACCTTGACCTTTGAACCTGTTCCTCCTGTCTTCAGAAAGGTGGTTTGCTTGTGTGCACAGGGCCAGATGCAGAGAAAGACAGTTCCCAAACACAGTAAACAGTGCAAGGGGATGAAACCATTAATTAAGTGTAAAAATAGAGCAGCCTGGCATTGTGCTTTGTTTTGAAAGAGATTTTTAAATCACCGGGTTCAACATTTACCCTTTTCTCTATCTGTTGCTTGGTCTCTCATAGCAAATGCAGTTTATACTCCACAGACAATAGACTTCCCTCCAAGTGCAGACACGGCGGCAGACTTTTCTGACTCCCCGTGACCTTCTAAAATTCCTCAGAATCACTTACTTCATAAGCTTTTAAAGTTTTATAGACACCTCATTTTATTTTGAATAGGTCACATCTATACTAACAAAATAAAGTGGAGAATTAGAATTATCTGGATAGTTCATGCTAGAGAGGGATTTGCCTTGAATTATCCAGGTAGCTGTCTTGATTCTCCATTTTACTTTGTTAAGGTGGACATGGCCTTAGAATCTCTAAGTTAATTCTGTCTAAATTCATTTCAAATTTTAATTTCCGAAGTATGAAAAATTCACTGGACTCTTTTCCTTTTCTTTTCTTTCCTTTTTTTTTTTTTTTCCTTATCCCATCTCAATCTCTCCTGGCCATACAATCACTTTAATTTGAGCCCGTTTGTTTTGGTTTATCTGACACTGCTCTTCCCCAGTGCAGCCGCTGCATTTTTTAACATGGGATACCTGTTATTTTCATTATTTAGTCCCAACCCCTATGTCTCCCTCCTCGAAATCAGTGAGCACTCCCAGTGAAGCTGGAAGCCAAGACTCGGGTGACCTGGGACCGTTAACAAGGTAAGAACTGTCCCTTCACAAAGGCCATGGTGGGATGCCAATAATACCTCCCCCCTCCAAAAAAAAGCAAGAAACCAAAGGTCTGAAAAGCCACACCATTCCTTTGTACATTGTTAGCTGTGCGTTCCTCTTTAAGTATCAGTCATTTTTTTATGTTTACATTTATTGTGGCTTGCTGCTTTTGGTGACTTTGAACCCTTGAAGTGATAAGTATCACTCTTCCATGAATAGGCTAATTTAATACCACGTGTCTTATTTGACAAACACAAGCATATCCATTGGCTTCAGTTTAAAAGAAAGTAGAGAAGGACTGAAGACAAATGGAATGTATATCTAGCTTTTCATTATTCTACCTTGGTTTTGGTTTCCATGAGAATCTTTGTGAGTGTAACACTGAGATGTTATAACCCTAAATTTACTTTTTCAAAAGTCTTGTTTATTTGCTTAATAGAGTTGACAAATTTGAGAACTCAGTCCTCATGTTATAATAATTATAATTGTTATTATTATTATAAATGTTATAATAATTAATAATGTCATTATTAATTATTATAATCAGGATTAACTGCTCCATTTTTGTCAGTTGCCAAACTTTTACTACACTAGGTATATTCCAAGATTATGTAACTAACTTCTCAAGGCCGAGATAGACATTCTCTAATTTGACCACTGAGGGAACATCCAAAATGTAGTGATATGATGAGAGAAAGGAGAGGCTCATTAATATGCATGGGGTCATGGAAACTTTCTTAATCCAGGTGTCTTCAGCAGGATTCCCACATGTGGGTTCTTATAGGCAGGCAATAGAGATGAGTGGGGAGTGGGGCCTTTGGCAGCTTATTAGCTAGCACTCCCTTTATAAAGCACAGATGGTCTCTTCACTGCTCTCGGGCTGGTTGAACTCAGATGGGAACATGGACCCAGTTTTTCCTCACCTTTCAATTTTTCATGAGAAGCTAAAAATTCAAATATTTATGCAGCAATCTTATAGACATTAAATGTTAATAACTTTGTTAAAAGGAATTGTGGGCTGGATTTGGCTCATGAGTTGGTGATGTCTGACCTCTCTTTGACTTTTCAAATAATCATAAAACATTTTAATGAAGTTTCAATAAAAGAAGCAATCATCCATAGCCCCAGCATTCTAACAGATCAACCTTTGTCTTGTCAGGGTAACCTTTCAATCCTTACCTACCTCTGTGTATGCCTTGCTACTGTATATGTTCCTGGAGGAAGTGAAGTGAAAGTCGCTCAGTCATGTCCGACTCTGCGAGCCCATGGACTTATACAGTCCGTGGAATTCTCCAGGCCAGAATACTGGAGTGGGGAGCATTTCCCTCCTCCAGGGGATCTTCCCAACCTAGGGATCAAACCCAGGTCTCCCGCATTGCAGGCAGGTTCTTGACCAACTGAGTCACAAAGGAATTCCTGGAGGAGAGGTATACAATTTTGCGTTTTTCTCTGTTCACTTAACACCTTATTGTGAGCGTTATCTTCTGATGGTCTGTTGTTTTCAGAAAAGCCTCGGCAATTTTGGCAGAGAAGAACCGAGAAATGAGAATAGGGTTAGCCTGTGTTGTGGGATTTTTAGCTTTCTGAAATCAGTACATAAGACTAAAATGAGTTCACCAATACCTGTCTGTTCATGTGTTTCAGACTTGAGTGTTTTGTTTTCATAGGGTCTTTTGAAACAGGTTGGACACTGCTTTCAATTTCAGAAAAGCGAACATAGAGGCTTTTGTGGGTACCAGGCTGGTTTATGTTAGCAAATCGCCTTTGTGATTCAGAGTAGCACACGTCTTCCCTCATCTTTTGCTTTGAACACTTCAAAAGGTCTTTGAGGGTGGGGGAGGAAAAATAATAATAACACAGCTTGTAAGATCTAACATTTATACAAGAGCTGGCACAATATAATCACATTCCTTAGGGGGGTCCATTGGCCTATCATTAAGTTAATGTATTTGCCTGTTTCTGCACAGTGACGGGATTGTGTCAGTGATGTTTAGTGTCAAGGGGTTCCACTGGCAGTGTGAAATACTATTACTGACTTCATAGTTGATGAGCCCTTTTGAAGACATCTAGAGAAAGTTGACTGATGCTGTTAGCACTCTGGGGACAGAAGCAGTTTTTCTGTTGGGGGGAACTTCATTCCTTTCCCCTTCTTTCATGATTTTTTAACTTAACCACTTTGGAAGAGGTGCTATCTATTCCCACCTCACACAAACTCTGCAAACTCCAGCTAGCTTCACTTCTTTGTAGAAACATTCTGGCAAGAGCGGGCAACTGGAAGTCAGTGAGTATATCCCTTGCTAAGTGCAGGTTTCATAGGGATGCAAAGAAACTGGTGTTGAGGAAGTGATTTTTCAGAAGAACTGAACACAGCATTGGCTTGAGGAGAAGTCATTAGGAATAGCTTAGTAAATCGTGCCCTTATTTTGAACTTAGGCACATTCCATGCAAATTTATGTTTTTGTTTCCATAAAGTATATATGCGAGTAAAATTTCAGAAGAACGTTATATTTCAGTTTTTAAAATTCTACTTGGAATGTCTTTTTCTGTAGAAGAAACATCTTTGAAAGCAGTTACTGTTAACTCTGACACTTCATAAAACACGAGACTGAAAAAGCACTTGGTAATTCCTAAGAATGTAACTCTATAGCCATAAATTTACATATTTGTGTAGAATTTGGACTTTTTGAAAAATGGAAAATCTTGCAGAAGATAACTTAGCAATCAAAGCAACACATCTGGTCCTACCTAAAGGTACACATAAATTCTGTCATTCGTTTGCCAGACTTTCAAACCAAAACTACAGTTTGCTTTGCAGTCAGAATTAGCAAACATTTCTTAAATAACCCCTGTAAGTGGTTAATTTGGAAATTGGCATACTTAATATGCTCTATTTTAAAGAAAAGGTTAAATAGTGCTTTAAACATATGAAGTATAACAAAAATTTCTTTTATTGATTTTTAAGAGCAGTTAAGTAAATTTTCTAAACTGAGTGAATAGAGAGTAGATATATTTAACATTTTTTCATTTATACTAGTATGATTTAATTTTTAAACTTATAGTATCATAATTTGTATTCCAATTTCTGCTTCTGTAGTTATAGCCTCCTTCTCATTTACAATTTACATTTGTGGTACTTTTCTCTTTCTCATAATTAGTTTTGGTAGAGTTAATTAATCATTGTTTGTTTAAACATACTGAACAAAGAACAAGCTCTTGGGTTTAAAAAAATTAACGTATTAATAAAAATTTGAAAAACTAGTTATACATATAAATGTATAACTACATTTATGGAAAAAAATCCTAGATATGCTATTTGCAGCTGAAATCCAATATAATATTAAAAGGATACAATGTTATGCTTAATTGTGTTGGATTCAAAAATTCAAGGATATTTTAGTATAGAAAAATGTTACCTTAATTCAGCACATAAAAAGGTCAAAGAGGGAAAAGTAAATATTGCAGTATATACTGAAACGGTACTTGCAAAATTTAAGCATCTAGTATCATATTTTAAAACTTAGTAAACTAGAAATATAAATGTTTTTCTCAATATGATAAAGAATATTAATTTCAAACCAAGAGCTTACATCTTTGATACATGAGAGTGAAGCATTAGCATTGTATAGCTCTTAAGAATGACTTATGTTTACTTGAATACATGTCTCTCTTCCTCAGGAAATGATAGGTTCCTTGCGAGAAGGGAGTAAGTCAGTCATATTTGTGGTTGTGTCCATATAATAGGTGTTAAACATTTATTGAAAGAATCAAGTATCATCCTACTTTTTACAGGGCTTGGAGGCACAGAGAGAATAAATAATTTTCTCAGATTCACACAGGACATAGCTACAATGCTAGGTTTGAACCTGGGCAGGTCGATACAAGTTTCCACAATCTATACCTCAGCCCTATATCATCTCTAACACCAATTGCTATGTGATACACAACCTACTCCATAAGGTAATCGTGAGTAAACAAAGTAGTATCCATAAAGCGCCAGGAAAGGAGTCTGTCATATATTAAGAATATGTGAGTTTTAGCTATTAGGTTGATGAAGAAGTAATTGTGGTTTCAGACAGTGAATTTTAAATCATTAGAACTAGGCTCAAACACATTTTTATTAATCAAAATAGGAACCATTACAATCAATACATTTTTGCCAGTGAGAAATGTTTGTTTATTTCTGTAGCATAAAAATCCATGCCTCAGGATTCATGGAATTCTTGGAAACCATTTTCTGCCTCCTGCTTGTTGTGGAAGCATTTTGCTTACAAATGGTTTTTGAGATGCTTGAAGCAGTGGTTGTTGGTTGGCGAAAGATCAGGTGAATATGGTGGATGAGGCAAAACTTCATGGCCCCATTCATTCAACTTTTGAAACTGGTTGTGTGATGTGTGGTCAGGCCTTGTCATGGAGAAGAATTGGGCCCTTTGTGTTGACCAGTACCAGCTGCGGATATTGCAGTTTTCAGTGCATCTCATTGATTTGCTGAGCATGCTTCTCAGATATAACGGTTTCGCTGGGATTCAGAAAGCTGTAGTGGTGGGCAGCAGACCACCAAACAGTGACCAAGACCTTTTTTTGGTCCAAGTTTGGTTTTCAAAAGTGCTTTGGAGCTTCTTCTTGGTCCAACCACTGAGCTGGACATCTGCAATTATAAAATCCACTTTTCATCACACGTCACAATCCGACAGAGAAATGGTTCATTGTTATATAGAATAAGAGAACACAGCACTTCAAAACGACGATTTTTTGATTCTCAGTCAGCTCATGAGGCACCCACTTATCCAGCTTTTTCACCCTTCCAATTTCCTCCAATGCCTGATGGCCATATAATGGTTGATGTTGAGTTCTTTGGCAGCTTCTTATGTAGTTGGAAGAGGACCAACTTTGGTGATGGCTCTCAATTGGTCATTGTCAACTTCCAATGGCCATCCACTACACTCTTCATCTTCAAGGCCATCTTCTCTTTTGCCAAACTTCTTGAACCA